AGCCTGTGGCCTTGGAAAGCAGCAGAGGTTGGCTCAAGTGTTTGGGTCCCTGCACCCACATGGGAGACATTCTGGCTTTGGATTGAGTCAGCTCCAGCTGTGCGGTGATTTGAGGAGTGAATCAGTGGATGGATGATCTCTGTTTCTCTGTCTCTCCTTCTCTGTGTAAATCTGCCTTTCAAATAAAAATGTATTTTTTTAAGTAAAGATGGTAGATCTCATATGTGAATTCTGTAACAATCTTTTAAAATGTAAACACAGCAGACTATCCTATTTGAGCTAGACTCAAAATGTAGGCCTGGCATCAGGGCAGAACTCCAGTTGGTGACTCGTCTGAGTTCTTGCTAAGCTTTCATGCCATCCTTTCTGAGAGTGAGCATTACGCCAACGTTTTTGACCCAGCGCTTCCCCCAAGTAACCCGAGTCCTTCTTCTTCTCCTTAGGGTGTTGAATACCACATTATTTGAAAGTTGGGAGATCGTTGGACCTTACCCTTCCTGGTGGGTTTTTAACCTCCTGCTGTTGCTAATACAAGGATTAAACTGCTTCTGGTCTTACCTGATTGTCAAAATAGCTTGCAAAGCTGTCTCAAAAGGCAAGGTAAGCCAAACTTCACACTTCTGCTTGTGTCCAGGAGCATTGTTTTGGTTCATCTAAATCCAGCAATTGTTGTTTCAGATTTCATCAAAACCAGTGCTATTTTTTTTTTAATTGAGCAAGGCCACTTACAAACACAAAGCAAATTTTCGTGGTCTTCTCATTGCTCATTTTTTATTTGTCAGTATTGCTTTGCTGCCGATGACACTCAATGATCTATATATCCTGCATATCTAATGATGATATATTATCTACCGTGTTCTTTGATTTCCCTCGGTCCCTCTCTGATTAGACTTATACTCTGGAAATGGAATGACTTCCTTCTATGAGAAGCGTTGCTGGATACAGTCTGCCCATTGAAACAATCCTTTCTTTGAAATGAAATAAATGCATTCATCGTTCACTTTTCCAACCAAAATGTGTTAAAATTTTTGTGGTTTAGAAAGGTCTCAGGGGGCTGATTGGAATAAATAGTTTCCTGAGCCCTGGGCCCTCTGTGTTGAATAGTGACTTTTCCAGATCTTTCTCTGTGACATTTTCTTATATTCATTGTTTGTTCTCTTCCTTCTGCCCCCCTGGAAGGCTGGGAAGTGGAACCCCTTACATGTAAGTTTTTCTTCCGCTCTCTACGCTTGTCCTGGTACCTCTTGCCTGCTGGAAGGCCACACAAATGCTCTTGTTCCCTCGCATAATGCTCTGTCTAATCTGTTGGCACTGACTGGAGGCTCTATGTGAGGCATAGTTTCCATTAGCTGCAAAGAACTCTAGGTACAGCCACACTAGGGCCCTTCTGTGTAAGCTTGTATTCTGCTAAATTTTGCATGACCCAACGAGAAGGAGAAGAGGTTCTTTCATTGGTGTTTGATATGTTACTGAAAGACAGAAATAGACCAAAGGCAAGTATGTGAAACAGAACTAGTTGGGGGATAGAAGAGAAGACCTGCAGTGCAGGATGGAACTCTGAGGGTCAGCTGTTTGCCTGCTCTCCCCAGGGCCACAGGGCAGCATGTGGCCACATTGACCTTCCCCAGAGCAACAAAACTGCCCTCTTTCCCAGAGCAGTTGGAACATACAGTCGTGTCCCAAGAAGTCAGTCCTGTGCAAAGCTAAAATGTTTCAGTTAATTGTTTAGAAACTAAAGTCCCTTTGTCTCTGTAATCACTTCTTCTTTAAAATGAATATGCCTTTCTGTTTAAACTTTCCTTGCCCTCATTTGGATGCAAATTAAATCACCTTACACGTTATTGTCAGAGTAATAATCACTGAAAATGCAAGCTGCTTTCGATTACTTTCCCTATGGCTTGTGTCCTTGTGTTGTCCATCAGACCTGCAGACACCTTGCCAACTCACTGCTTCAACCACACCAATAAGAGGACTCACACTCCTTGCCAGATTTGCTGCAACTGAAGATTCAGTATAACCATGAGTTATTTTCCTGTGGTTTATTTGGAAATATGAGAGATTGTCCTTTCTTTGAAGGTAGAGTTTCCAAATGCAAGTTCTAATATTCTAATATTCTTACTGAGCATCAGTTCACTCACTTGTTTAAACTGAAATTTCATATGAGCAACTTAATTCATAACTAATAGACTTATAAACATACTGGAGCTGTCTTACAATGCTGTCTTTGGGACTCACATTTTCTAAATTAAAGTATCCTTATCCTCCATGCACTTTGGAGAGGCTTCTGTGATTTCAGCCTCATCTTAAGAGCCATTTCAATGGCTTTTGTTTGTAAGACATTTCCTCCCTCACTGGTTGGAGTGCAGTAATATTCCTGCCTTTTACTTTCTCTTGTCCCTGCCCACCTAACAGACATGACATTCTCTCGCAATAATGGTTTGGGGTGAATTCTAGTATTCTCAAGGTGGAGTGTTGTGGTAGCACAGAAAGAATATATTAAAAAGAACTCCCCAGCTAATTTTGATATACCTCTTGGGGGTCTCTACCCACTCCCCAAACTGCTTACTGAAGAGTCACAGAGGACTTGATTAGGGAAATATCTATGGCACTAGTCGGGTCCTTTTGGCCACCATCACATAAAAACTCAGTCAATGATATTGAGTTAATTGACAACCTTAAAAAGTCTCGACCGGCGCAATAGCGTAACGGTTAGGGTCCTCGCCTTGAGCGCACCAGAATCCCATATGTGTGCTGGTTCTAATCCCGGAGGCCCTGCTTCCCATCCAGCTCCCTGCCTGTGGCCTGGGAAAGCTATCAAGGACGTCCCAAGACTTTGGGACCCTACTCCTGCATAGGAGACTCATAAGAGGCTCCTGGCTTCGGATTGGCTCAGCTCCAGCCATTGCAGCCGCTTGGGGAGTGAATCATCAAACAGATCTTCCTCTCTGTCTCTCCTCTCTGTATATCTGACTTTCCAATAAAAATAAATAAATCTTTTTTAAAAAGTCTCGACTATAATTTAGAATTACACAATTGAAGATGCAAGCAATTTAATTTCTCTTAAAATTACATCCTTCCTAGATAGTGTTTTTTTCAAGCATGCATGTATTGATGTGTATTCTGGTATTTTTTTTTCCTTTTTGCTGTTTTCATTAATTAATGAGACTGGATAGAGGATTGGAGAAGCTTGGCAAGATGGGAGCCAGTTAATGATCCCATCAGTAGATTTTCCTTGCAAAAGAGTTTAATCTGGATCTCAGCCAGCAGATTCTTAAAATATTGCCTGCTTCCATTATTGGTTATGTGATCTACTTGTATAAATCACAATCTCTGATTAATCTCCCAGACATAAAAGTGTCAAATCATAAAGCAATGCGTTATAAAACCGAATAGAAATGACTTTTTTAACCATGTGAACTGCAGGATCTCTTCATCAGTGTGATTAATTAGGAGCTGGCTTCAAAGAGTTCCCAAGGAGAATATGATCTTTACAGAGTAAATTGATCCTCTTGTGCCAGATTCCTGTAATTTCATTCCTGTCGTGCAATATGTCACTTTAAGGGTGTGAGTGGGATTTATGATCTTGTACATTCTGTATATATATATAAAAAAAAAACCCTTAAAAAAGCCACACACGTCCAGCCTTCTGTGATGCACCGTAGATTCTTTCACAGCTGACTTTGGTCACTCAGAGTGTATTTCTGCTGTGAAGGGGAGCTTATCGTGACGGTGATGTTCTTTTCTTGTGTTTTTTTTTTTTTTTTAACATTTGGATCAGTTCACCTGCCTATGTGGTCGCATGTGCTTCTGAGCATGCCATACCCCATGACTCGCTAAGAGCTGGTTACACTCATCTACTTGCATTCTACAGGTGTCCAAGGATGACCGAAGTGACATTGAGTCCAGCTCAGATGAGGATGACTCAGAACCTCCAGGGAAGAACTCGCACGCTGCGACAACCACCAATGGGACCAGTGGTACCAACGGGTATCTCCTGACTGGTCCTTGCCCCATGGATGATTAATTGTCCGCAACTACAAATCCCGAACAAAGTGAACTGTTTGTTCCTGGAAGTATTTAATAAAATGCAAATGCAGTTCCTTTCATAATATCTCAGCACCAGAAACAAAAATTAGGATTATCAAAGCATTTTTGAATAGTGCACTGCCATATGTCCTATCTGTGAATGAAGAAGAATTACCATTCTCTACACGTAGGCATGCTCTATGTAACTGACACAAGGGAACAGTATTTGTATTTGTACTGTCATGGACTATTATTTATTTTTTTGTATTTGTTTGTAAATCTGTGGACAAAAGAGGGTTTCCTTGCTCCTTGTGTTCCCTGGGTTCCTGGCAGTGAAGGGAGATACTCTGTCTGCTCCTACCCCTTTCTGTTGCTGGAGTCCGAGTGCTAGAGGCATCAGCTTGATTTGCCACTTAGAGCAAACACAGCTAGTGCTAGATTCCCATGTAGTCTGAACAGCTTTGCTTTCTTTATGTTACCATGCCCATGTTGAAACTGCCCCAATGTTAGTGACCATTCTCCTGGTGTGAAAATTAAACAGAATGGATCAGGTTTTTAAATTGTCACTCTTCATGGCCATGTGGCAGCTCGAGTGATAGATGCCAGTTATTAGACTTTTGATATGAAATTGCTTTAGAATACACTTCTTTCCTTGTGCACACAGTCAAGATTTCTCCAGTGAGTATGGTTACCTGGTTGGGGATTGACCTTCTTGGTGACAGAAAGGTTTTGCTTCTTTAAAAAAAAAAAAAAATTACTTCTCTGATGAAGCTGGTGCTGGGACTCTGAAGGAAGATATTTGTGTAAGTTCATGCCTCTAAATACAGAAATAACTTTATAGGGAGAATTTGTCCTGCAATGAGAGCAGCTGGTTTCAACAAGGTTTTGACCATGACCCTAAGAGTAAGCAGCTTTTTCTTCTGTCACACTCACATGAAACAAACAAACAAACAAAAAGAAAAAAGAAACAAAGTATGTTTGGTGGAAGAAGAAGTAATCATTCAACAGTTAGCAGAGATCACCTCCAGTGCAAAGCACGTTATTCCAACTTTCAAGAAAAAGCCCTGTCTAGTATTTCACCTTCAGGATTCAGCTTTGCCAATAAAGCCAATGGGTAAAGACCTGTTGCCTTCTATTAAACATGTCCCAGGAAAACGTTTCTTCTCACTGAAACTGAGTAACAAAGCACTCCCACTTTTTGTTTGACTCTGTGAAAACTTATTGGGTTTCAGCATGTTTTTTCACCCTCAAACAATCTATTTATAACAAAACAGCACAGATTTTGTTGAGACAAAGGCAATACCACCACAAGCAAAATTAATGAAGAACACATTTCAGCATGTCTTCTACATGGCAGTATTATCAATACACAGATAACAAAACCATATACAGATGCCAAAGATTTTATCTGCTAACTTTTCATTAGAGGGAATACACTGGGCATACAAATAAGTGTTTTGTAAATCAAATGACCATTGCCTAAAACAAGAATGCAGAATAAAAATGCAGCAACAATAACATGTGGCTCAGGGCACAGGGCTCATAGCAGCAAAGTACAGAGCATTCCATATCTTGAAAAAAATGAAGTACAGCTTTGTACCATAGTTTCCAACTTGTGAAGGAATGTCCCTAACCAAAGCTTCTTGGTGTGATATTAAATCTTTAAAAATGTATGTGTCTGTTATAGCCCAGAGCAGAGTGAAGAGGCTTGAAAAAAATCTATCTGCTTATTTATTGAAAAAAAATGTATAAACAATTCTGCCAGTAGAAATGTAGACTTTTTGTTTTACGAAGTAGGCATGTGTCTGGGAATGTAACTTGTAGATGGTTGATTGAGTCTGTGAGACTAACTGTGAAACCACCAGGACATCTGCTAAAATGAAGCTATATAAAAAGTAAGATCAACCACATTGTAGCTGAAAATTTGGAGGCATAAATTCCCCTCGTTATCTACTAACATATGGAACATCTCTGCCTTGTGTCAGTGTCTGGTTTGGGTCCTCACAATAGGTAGCATGATCAGAGGGCCACAGTGTATCCCAGTTGCAACATCCTGGCACTCTGTAGCACAGAAGAATCATTTCAGATAGGTCAGCTTCTAAAGTAAAAGTTACAAGAAACTCACAAGATGCCATAAATTGACTCTGTTGTTGGCAAAGGCAACAAGAATGGGGACTAAGTGTGTGTGCAGCCTCCCTGGTTGATGGCAAACTTGCAGCACGGTCCTCTACAGATTTTGTTCATTTTGCATTTTAGAGTAAGAAGTTCTTTCTGGTTAATCAAAGTGGAGTTTGTAGGCCTTTTAGTAGAATGTCTCTGTCGACTCTTCTCCTTGGTGGCCTGCCAAGGCTGAGAGAGTAGAAGAGGTGAGGTATGTGAGCTCCCACCTGTGCCAGGTGCTAGTTTTGAGAGTATATTTGTAAATGCAGCTGTAGTTTAGAGAGAGTGCTGTTTCTCATTCAGTAATTAATAGCCTGTATTGATACCACCTCCCTCCTGGTCACATTCAAACTTTCCCAGGGTGTGTACAAAGGGGTATGTAGAGAGAACTCCAGAAAAAGTGATGTTATCTCCAGTATTACCACTTTTCTGGATATCATAGTGGGGGAGGGGGTAGTAGAAAATTGAGTAGAATTTGGCCTTAGGTCAATACATGAAATAAAAAAAGTATGATCCATGTATGTATATGTATGTTTTCCAAAAAATGATAAAACCAAAATATCACTTACTCATCCTTCTTCATATTCTTTTCACAAAATTCATCCACCATGGCCATAGAAACTTCTCTCCTTCTTGATTATCCTCCTTGTTCCTGCACCTCACCCAGCTGAGAGTGATGGAATCCATCAGCCTCTCCACCACAGAGCTAAATATGGCAAGGTCTAGGTCATAGAGCACCAAGGCCAGTCCAGAGCAAGGTCTAGAGCAAGGTCTAGGTCATAGAGCACCAAAGCCAGCCCAGAAGCCAAATGCAGCTCTCATTTCCAAATGTGGTGTCATGGGTGTTGACAGGTGGGTAGCAACGATCAGTGTTTCAGATTATTCAAGTCTGTTGTGAAAAAAAAAAATGCCTGTGATGTTGCCTCACCTGGGGGTTGGTAATGTACTACTGTTGCTGGCCTACTGGACAGAGAGCATCCTGAGATGCCATCACATAATGACACTGCACTGGAAAGGATGAAAGAGGCAGGAACTGCAGGCAAGAAGGAAGATTGCGTCAGTTCACCAAATGGTGGGTCAGCTCCACATCCAGGGTGTTGCTAAACCTCCCATTCTAAATATTTGAACAGACTGCCTTCATCTTGTATACATAGGGCCTGGCTCCTCCACTGTGTCTTCCAACCTCATTGTTATTTGGGGTAACAAGTGAGATTTCAGCTCGCCCAAGTGTTTGCTGAAGACCCATCTGTTCTCTTGAGAAAACTTTATAGATACCTGTGATCATCACCAATCTGTTCATGATTTTTTAAATAATTGTTTTAACCCTGTGTTGGAAGTCTTGATGCCAGAGTTGCCTGAATACCTCATTTTTTTTTTTTCATTTGAGAAAAGGTACACTGAATAATTCCGAAGGTGTTCAAGATTCCCTTTCGCACTATGTGGGATGATGTCATTATAGCCAGAGAAGCTGCAGGAAATCCCTGGGAGATAAAAGTTTAAGTGTTTACATTTTATGTGGCCTTTGCAGTCCCAAGGTTCTACTTGACTACTTTCCCCCTCTTTGTCTTCTGCTGATTTCTGCCTTGTGAGTGAACAAGTAAGCTCTGAAGGATTTCTAAATTCCAAATAAGAAAAAATTGAGTTAAACCCAGTTATCTGATAGGAAAGTGGTCATGTGGCATTGGCAATGTCTACATAGCCTGTGTGGAAAGATGAAATGAGCTTCTAGTACTACGGAGAAAATAATCATAAAAAGTTCACTACTCATAGACAGTTCTTAACAAAAATGCAGAACTTTTTTTCCAAATGAAAATATTGCTTCAGAATCCTTTGAGGTTTCTCTTGGTGAAATGAACTTGTGCCATTCTTGAAATTATCACATAGTCATTAACACTGGTGCAACCTGCCACGGTTTAACTTCATTTACTTTTATGTGCAATGTTCCCTCCCCTCCCCTAGAGGACACTCTCTAGATGCTGAGAAGTGTTCATGCTGCCGAGGTGGCATAGAAGATGCTGGTTTTCATGGAGAAAATTATATTCAAGAACAAAGAAAACCATACCTATTGTTTTTTAAGATCTGCAAGCACTCAAAGGGACAACTTAGTTCTTTCTAGATATTTCCCATTTGAGTTCACCCCAAAGCCTTTGTAAGGAATGCATTAACAAGAGACACACATCAAAATCCCCCAGATTACAGAAGTTATGGGAGCCCCTGCAGCGGCAAAGCACAGGGTTGGGCACTCGCAGCGTTGCCTAGGAAATTTCAGCAGGGGATGAGCAATCAGCCTATGACCTGGTTGGTTTGGTTTTCGTTTGGTTTGTTAAATTTTGGTCATTCAAACTGCTTTCAGCCTCTTGATAAAAGAAAGCCAGGATCTTGCCATTTTCCTGTGTTAGACTTCCCAGTAATGTTTGGCTGTGTGTGTGTGCCATTTTTCTAAAAGCAGCACTGTGTCGGGTGTGTTTAAACACACAGCTCCATGAGCACCTATACTAGGGAACAGCAGCTGCTGAATGGTTTCTGTTTTCGTGAAAAATTAGGTGTCACTGAAATTTTTGTTCCTTTTCTAAAATCCACAATAATTTTTTTGATGTTATTATGAAGTTGCCCTTGGGAATTTATAAAGACTTGCTGCAAAAAAGCAATTTAGCTCTCAGACAAGAGAAAGAAGTTAAATGACCATTCTGGAACTTTAATTTAGAGCTCCATTGTGTTACATGTGACACACACACACACACACACACACACACACACACACACACACACACTTAATTTCCCCGTGTTTTCTAAAGCCCCAAAGCCCATGACTTCTGTTTACCGACCTCATCATCATTCACCTCCACATCACTTATTGTCAGGGAAGAAGATGGTGGTTAGATGTTGGATTTGATTTTTTTTTCCCTTCATTTACAGTAAGAGGAGAGGTAACAAATCCACTCGTTAAGTCAATTCAGTGCTTGAGCATGTCAGATGTGAAATGATGTACTGTTAGCCAATTTGGGTGATTTTGTGTACTGTTGTTGTGTTTTGCTGATTTTTATATGGAAATATAATTATTCATCCTTGATCTCTGGAAGCAATCATTGTTATAAGGATCATTTTCCTTTGGAAACACTTTCATAATAAAGATAAGTATGAAAGAAAGCAGTGCAAATAGCTGTCCTAACTAGCTGCTGTTGAGAATTCAGCACACCTTTTTAGATGGGATTCTTGCAGAGCTCACCTCAACTTAGGAGTTTCTTACAAACCTCCTCAAATCCCAATGTTGCCATGATATTGAGAATGTCTGATTTTATGATTGTGTATAGTAATTGTTCAGATACCAAGAAACAGAAAGCAAGCATCTCTAGCTTAGCCCCCATCACAGCCTGTCTCCTGACTGCAGCTTCCTGCTAATGCAAACCCCCGGAGGTGGCAAGAAAAACTCAAGTGATTAGGTTCCTGTCACCCATGTGGGAGACCTAGATTGCATTCAGGGTCACAGTCTTAGCCATTGTGGGCTTCTAGGGGAGTGAGCCAGCAGTGGGAGTTCCATCTCCCTCAGTATCTCTCTCTGACTCACTGCCTTTCAAATAAATAAATTTTAATAAAGATATAAAAGCTTCAATATTAAATTTTATCTAGTAGGGCCAGCATTATAGCATAGCTCATAAATTCACTATCTGCAACACTGACATCCCATATGAGCTAATGCCTTGGCAAAAAAACAGTGAAACGTGGCCCAAATGCTTGGACACCTGCATCCACACAGGAAAGCTGGGTGAAGCTCTTGGTTCCTCACTTCAACCTAGCCTACCTCTGGACATTGGGATCATTTCAGCAGTGAACCAGCAGATAGAAGATCCCTCTAACTTAGCCTCTCCAACTCTCTTTCTCTCTCTGTAACTCTGCCTTTCAAATAAATAACGTAAAATCTATGCAGCACTTCATTCTGGGGAGGGAGATACAATTGTAGAGATTCCAATTTAAATCCATCAGACGATGCTGCCTTTACCAAATTATAAAAAAAGGATTTAGGACAGCAACCCAAAGCATGATGCACAGCTGCTCAGCCGGTGGCATCCACTTTGAGCCTGTGCCCTACTTCGTTAGACCTCCTGCCCCCTCTCTCCATTTTCCCTGTGAAGCTGCTTTTCCCAAGTTGCTCCTCTTCTGCCTTGAGTTCATGTCATGGAGTTTTTCAAAAGCTGCAAAAATAGCACAGCATATCAACCAGCATCAGTTTTAGGTTAAAAACAAAACAATTAAACCTGACCTATTTTTAATTATCGTGTACAACAACAAACTGACTCCAAGAACGCATTAGTCTAATAATTATAACCACATACATTTTTCTGAGGTGCAAGAAAAATGGATTTTTATGTAAATACAACATTCTGGAAGCTGTGGACTCTGCCAGTTGTATAAATAGCATAATCCAACGCTGTAAGTATCTCTCAAATAGCAATGAGAGCACTCAACTTCTATGTCAGACATCTTCCTTGTTGCTGAAACTGCCACATCCAACCTAATTCTGACAGCTCTGAACTCCCAGTGTTTACCGTAAGGAGTTGAAAATGCATCCATATGGAAACCTGCCTGTGGATGTCTACATTACAAAACTGGAAGCAACTATCCTTCAGTAGATGAATGGATGAATAATCTGACCCATCAGATAAGGAAATTGCACTTAAAGAGAGAATGAGAGAGGTGGACTAAAAGATTTGGAGGAAACTTAAATGTCTATTACTATGAGGAGGAAGAAATCAGAAAAGATAACATATCTATTTGTGATTCCAATTATAGGACATCCTCCAAAAGACAAGAATGTGGGGGAAAAAAGCAGTGATGGAGGAATGAACAGGTGGGACAGAGGATCTGTCTCCTTGGGTCACAGATGGCCAGCCTCCTTCTGGTTATGCCTTCACATGGTCTTCCGTCAGTGTGTCTGGGTCCTTATCTGCTTCCTCACATGGACAACAGTCATCCTGGATTGGCACCTGCCCAGAGAACATACTTTTACCTTCATCATCTCTTTTTAAGTTCTTTATCCAATACTGCCTCATCCTGAGGCAGTGGGGATTAGGATTTCAACATATATTTGAGGGAGACATGATTCTTGCCTTTAACACCAGGCAGTTTCACATAGTAACAGAGAAACTAAGTGACTGTGGGACTTCCAACCAGATTGCAGGGTCACAGACACTGGGGACAGGTGATTTGAACCACAACACTGGTGAGAGCAGCCTAGAGAGGATCTTGTGTAGGAGCAGTCTGAGCAATTGGAGCCTGAAGTATCAAGCATTCAGGAATAGGAGGGGATGGAGGTTAGTTATTCAGTGAGCCGGGTTCTAAGAGTGGGCTGAAAAGCTCATTGGGAATAAGGCAAGAGTGGGTATTGAGTGTGGCAGAGTGAGAAAGTTACAGGAAATGAAAGGGAAATCACCTTCTCTCCCCTTTTGTGAGTCTATCAGTTATTTGGTTCTTGAGGGTTAGATGCTCATCTCCTACTAGTTTTACTGACAGTTTGTTAATACATGGAATTGTCTAGTCAAAAGAAATCAACATGCAGGAACAGGTTAAGCTTTGGCTTGGAATACCCCCATTCCATATTAGAGTATCTGGTTAAAGTCCCAGAACTCCAAGCTCTGGATACAGCTTCTGCGAATGCATCTGGAAAGCCACATATGATGGTCCAAATCCTCACACATGCGAACCCAGGTGGAGTTCCTGTCACTCTACCTTGTAAATAAATAAATAAAAATTTTCAAAAATGTAAAGCAACATGTTGAATATCAGGCCAGTTGGAATCTTGCAAGCAAGGGTGAATTCAAAAGTTCCTTAGCATTTTGCAAGAGCAATGAATACCTTTTCTCTCTCAGTTTAAAGTGCTACGTAGTACACAAACTAGAACATTGACATACCGTAGTTCCTGGGGGCTCCACTTCCAATCCAGCTCCGTATCCATGGCCTGGGAAAGCAGGATGTGGAACATGACCTAAGGGACTGGGAGACTACATCCCTACCCCTGTGAGAGACCTGAAAGAAGATCCTGGATCCCAGCTTCGGAGCAGCACAGCACCAGCCACCACCATTTGGGGAGTTGTCCAGCCGATGGAAAATCTCTCTGTGTATCTCTCCTCTCTGTAAATCTGCCTTTCCAATAAAAATAAATTTAAAAAAGAAATAACATGGGAGATCTTCAAAAAGTTGATTGAAATGCATATTGTGCAAACACTAGTCATACATTTCAAAAGTGTTTGCAACAAAGCAAACATTCTTTTAATTATATTTTTCCATGAAAATGCTATGGTATACCCATGTGTATGTGAATCAAATTTAACAATAAAGATAAATGTTTCTGAAAATCATAATTGCTCTACAGATAAATTACTATAATTATCATCACTGATAGGACAGTAATTAACCTAAAAGTTCAGGGACGGCACCCAATGTGATGGCTCAATGGCTAAATCCTCATCTTTCAAGCAGCCCATATGCATGCTGGTTCCTGTCCCAGCTGCTCCATGTTCCATTCAACTCTCTACTTGTAAAGCAGTGTAGGATGGCCCAAACCCTTGGGATCCTACACCTGCATGGGAGACCTGGAAAAAGCTCCTGGCTACTGGTTTCAGATCAGCTCACTTGCAGCCAGAGCAGGCATTTGGGGAGTGAGCCAACAGTTGAAATATCTTTGTCTTTCCTTCTGTCTATAAATCTGCTTTTCCAACAAAAATAAATAAATCTTTTATCTAAAAAAAGTTCAGAGAAGTTGATTTGGGATTAGGTAAAAACCTTTAAGGAAGAGAATCAAGGTGGCGGAATAGGGTAAGGACACATTTAAACAGAGAATCATTAACCAGGGTGAAGTAGAGAGGGCACATTCCAGGAAATAGGAGACAGAGGAGCACCTGGCTACTGATGGACACAGTGTTGTCCCCACTATTTGACCTTTAAGTCCAGCTTCTCCCAGAAAGCCTTACTTAGCCTTTGAAAATTTGCTGCTTTTCTTAGAGAAGAAAAGGTATAATCATGTGATTCCATCGGGATGCCCCTCTGCTTCCCCTACAGGACTGCCAGCAGCTTGAGAGCAAAGATCTCACCTTTTGTATTTGAACCCTCCTCATCAGCCATAGTGATGCAGGTTTCATTAAATGCTTGCTTATAGATACAGGAGCTTTGGGAAGATGACTCAGTGTTAGAAGGGACAAATGAGCAAATTTTTAGTTTTGAATTTCAGCTGAAGGAAGTTAATTCATATGAAAACGTCTACTGAGAATTAGAAATACAATATTAAACCTTGATGCTATTATTCTTTTTAATTTATTTTTATTTTATTACAAAGTCAGATATACAGAGAGGAGGAGAGACAGAGAGGAAACTCTTCCATCTGATGATTCACTCCCCAAGTGAGCGCAATGGCCGATGCTCTGCCGATCCGAAGCCAGGATCCAGGAACTTCTTCTGGGTATCCCACACGGGTGCAGGGACCCAAAGCTTTGGGCCGTCCTCAACTGCTTTCCCAGGCCACAAGCAGGGAGCTGGATGAGAAGTGGAGCTGCCGGGATTAGAACTGGCGCCCATGTGGGATCCTGGGCGTTCAAGCAGAGGACTTTAGCCACTAGGCCATGCTGCTGGGCCCGATGCTATTATTCTTTCCGTTTTGTTTTTCACATAGAAAAACTGAAGTACAGTGGTGAGAAACTTGCCTTTGATCTTATAGCCAGAAACTGGTGTAGATTCAGTCCATGCTTTGAATCATTTCTCTGTTGCCTGCAAAGGACCTTGATAAATGTCTATGTTTGCAGTATAAAACAAAGAAGATAAATCAGCAAAAAAAAGAGTGATAAGACTCAGCTGCTTCATTTCCCATCTAGCTCCTGGATGAGCAGAGAAGGAAGGCCCACGTTCTTGGGACCCTGCACTCATGTAGAAGACATTCTCCTGACTCCTGCTTCAGATCAGATCTGCTCTGGCTATTGTGGCCATTTGGAGAATGAACTAGCAGATGGAAGATTCTCTCTCTCACATACACACACATTTTCTCTTTCCTGTCTGCATATGATATAAATTAAGACTTTGATGAGCTTCAAGAGATTTGCCTAGTTTCAAGGTATATCCTCTGCAGAGACTTACTGGCTGGGAAAGTAAAAAAGTTGCAACAT